GAAAAAAAATATATTAAAGAGAAGTTTGTGTTTTTTTATTAATCACCAGCTCCGAGCATCTTTTATTAGCCTTTTAGTAAAGTAATGAACCTTCTGTTGCAACACACACACACACACACACACACACACACACACACACACACACCCCTTCTATCAGAGATAATGTCACCAAGGATTCTACAGAATCTCAGACAATTCAATTCAAGGATGAACCAAAGGGCCCACTGACCTAAAAGATATGTTGCAAAGACACATGCATACAGCTAGGTGTCTTTCATGAAGCCAGTTTCCCAGATAGGTTCAGTAAGTCTCTACCTTCATGTAACCATCTTTTCCACAGGTTCTCCATCCTCTGGGTCACCTTTCCCTTCACAGCAAATACAATGACACCGATGCTGAGACAAGTCCCCATTGTACTTAATGTGGGAAGTCCAACATCCTCCAGTGCTTCTGTGGACTTCCAGGGGCAGGGACTCACATTCTTTTGGTCAGTGCTTATTTACAGTCTGCTGCCTCCATGTACCCCACTTTCTGCAGTGCCCATTTCTTCTCTTTCTTAAGGTGGTCTACTATGGCACAAAACCTCTTTTCCTTTTTTCCTGAAAAGTTCTCTGTACATGAGCCACCTGTAACAGATTTTACTGAAGGTTTTGTGGCTGAAGTGGGCTGTTACAGATAGATGAACCCTAGACCCTCTGGACCACTGGGCCATCTGTTGGCCTGATCTATCCTCTCATTTTCCCTTCCTGCTGGATGCCAACAAAACCTCAACATTTCTTCATTCCCAGAATCAATTTAGCCTTCCTTTCTTTTGTCCTTACCCATCTAGTTTAGGCCCAGTATCCTCTCCTCTCAGCAGCAGCAGGTATCTGTCATTGTTTCCCAAGCAAATGTTCAGTGTGCCCCTTAAGAACAACTCTTTCTTTCAAACCAAGAAAAATAATGCACTCAGAAATAACTTCTGAGATAACAAGTGTGTTCTATCATCAGTTCTATTGTCTGAATGCAGTTTGAAAGCTCAGAGGGACCTGTCGCACCCAATGCCTAACACTCATACCAAGAGAGTCATCCCATCAGGTGAAGGGTTTATATCCAGAAGCATAATCAAACATTGTATCTGGGAGAAGTAACCCACCAGTTCTCAAATTAAAAGTTCTCAAACTTTTGTATATATGCAAATCTTCTGGTGCACATGTAAAAATACAACTTCCCTGGTAGAATCCTGAGACAATTGATTCTGAAGACTTAAGTAGAGCCTAAGAATTTGAATTTTTATTTATTTATATATTAATTGTTTTTATTTGGGGGGGGTGGGTACCAGGAATTGAATCCAAAGGTACTTAACCATGCATCACACCCCCAGCCCTATTTATTTATTGGTACAAAGGATTGAACTCAAGGGCACTTAACCACTAAGCCACATCCCCAGCTCTTTTTTGTATTTTATTTAAAGACAGGATCTCACTGAGTTGCTTAGGGCCTTACTAAATTGCTGAGGCTGGCTTTGAACTCACAATCCCCCTGCCTCAGCCTCCCAGACTGCTGGGATTATAGGTGTGCATCACCCCACCCAGCTTTATGTTTTTTCTTTTGAGACAGGGTCTCGTTAAGTTTCTTAGGGCTTTGCTAAGTGGCTGAGGCTGGCCTCAAAACTTATGATCTTGGGCTGGGGTTATGGCTCAGTGGTAGAGCGCTTGCCTAGCATGTGTGAGGCATTGGGTTTGATCCTCAGCACCACATAAAAATGAAATAAAGATATTGTGTGTACACCTACAACTAAAAAACATTTTTTTAAAAAAACCAACTTGCGATCTTCCTGCCTCAGTCTCCAAGTTGCTGGTATTATAGGCATGTGCCACCAAATCAGGCAGAAATTTGCATTTTTAAAACGTGTCCCACCTCACCTCTTTCCCAGGCAATTCTGAATAAGGATCACCTGCCCTAAGGTGCAAAATGAATGATGGGCATCAGATTAACAACTCTTTTAGTTTCCTAAGGTTTCTATAAACAAATCACCACAGATTTGCAGTGGTTATTCGCAATGGCTAAAAGGTGGAAGTGACCCCAAAGTTCATCAACAGATGAGTGGATAAACACAATGTGATATATCTAGACAATGGAATATTATTCAGCCTTAGCCCATTATGTCCCATCTCCCTGTGTAAAATAGAAATTTTGAGACTTAAGCAGTTAAAGCAGAAGAAAATTCTGATACATACGATAACATGGACAAACCTTGAGGACATTATGCTAAGTGAAACAAGCCAGAGACAAAGGAGTAGATATTGAGTGACTCCGTTTAAACAAGGTACCTAGAATAGTCAGATTCATAGAGATAGAGAACATAACATTAATTACCAGGAGATGGAGAGGAGAAGAGGGAAGCTTAGGGATGAAGAAAGTCTAGAGATGAATGGTGAAAATACACAAAATACAAAAAAAAAATATGAATGAGCTTCATGCCACCTAATGATATTTTAAAGAATGAGTAATATGGTAAATTTTATATTATGCATATTTTAACATAATAATATTTTAAAACAAGCCCCAGAAATTTATTCTCCCACAGTTCTGGAGGTTAGATGTTAAAAACCAATATCACTGGGCACCATCAAGCGTCAGCAGGGCCTGCCTTCTTCAGAAGCTCCAGGGGAGATTCCTTCCTTGCCTCTTGCAACTCTGATAGCCTCAAGAATTCTTGGTTTGTAGACACATCACTATAATCCCTGCCCCCATCTTTACATCACCTTCTCCGCTCTGTGTGAAATCTCCCTCTGCCTCCCTCCTGTAAGGACATTTAGGATAGATTCACCCAGATAATCCAGGATAAGCTCCCATCAATCACATCTGCATAGTCCTTTTTCACCATACAAGTAAGTCACTGGTCTTATGAAATACGATGTAGGCTTCCTATGCAGACCATTATTTGGCCTGTTATGCCATTTGTCAGGGTTCCCAAGAAATGGGGCCAAGAAGCAGGGAAGAGAACCAGAGAGTCAAGAGCTGGGATTTTGGCCATGGGGAAGCAGGTCCAGAGGAAGACAAGGCATCCTGCTCAGGTGAGGGAAGTCCTTTGTAACTTCCTGGTATTAGGGGTGCTTCCCCAATTTAGGGAACAGTCTAGCTCAAAATGAGGCCACTTGTCAGGGAAGAGGGTGGCAAAAATGCAGCCAGTGTGCCAAGGTCCCTGCCCAGCCTCACAAATATTCCATGGCTGACCTGGTGGGAACCCAGGTACACCCAGCATCTCAAGCTGTGGGACAGGAGGCCAAGCTGGATGTGACTACATCCCCCCATGTGGGTCCCGTTGACATGCACATGTGGGTCCCGCTGACAGCAACCCACATCTGAAGAAGGAACAAAGAGTCAAGTTTAGTTCCTACTTGGTGCCAAGCACAGGGTCAGGTATTCCCCATCCTTAGTATCTAATCCCCACCCAGCTCCAGGAGGGTCACATCAGGGCTGCTTCCCAAATGAGGCACCCACTGCTCAGAAAGGAGAAGCAATTTGCTCACAATTATGTGTGTCCACATTCTGAGTCCTGGGAGTTCTGTTAAGGTGAAGGGCTCCAATTGGAATTGGACAAACCTGAGGTCACTTCTTGGTCCTGCGTGCACTGGCTATTGATCTCAGACACCATCTCACTGCTCCTATTCCCTCATCTCTACACCAAGAAGCAATATAGTGGCATGGTCTACCTGATAGGGTAGGGTTAAATATGAGGATAAACACAGATCTGAGCAAGAGTTTGGCACCAAAAACACTCAGATAACTAATATTAACATTCCCAGTCCTGCTCAGTTGCAGGGGCATGGTTTGTGCCACCAGTCTCCTCCCTCCCCTGCCAGGTAGGGCAAGCACAGGAGGGATACTGAGCAGGGCCTGGCAAGAAAGGGGAATTATAAACAAAGGCACTCTTGGGTTTGGAACAACTGGACTCTGCTAGTCTCTGCCCCTTCTCCTCCATAGTGAGTCCACCATTAACCCTCCACAAAGCAGAGAGCAGGGAAGCCCCAATATAATTCCCCGTTTGTCCTCTACCACCAAGGCTGACATGAGTCTCAATGGACTTGAAGGACTGTGTTGTTCTGCTTGCTCAGAGCCTCTCAGCAAGCCTAGCCTCATGCCCAGTGCCAGCTGCAGCCATGGGGCTGGCAGCCAGACTGCAAAAAGCAGGGGTGACCCCATCCATGCCCTTGGCTGGCTAGGGGATTCTGCCTAGACAAGAAGTCCTTTCACAGCTGTGAATCTAATTGCAGGACAGGCCTGTGGTTGTGCAAGTTGTTTAAAAGAGCTTTAGAAAACACAACTGGTCCAATAATCGCCCAACTAACATTGACTCTGGAGGTCACAAAGCCCTGGACGTCCACAGGGAAACCACTGTGGCCCTGCCTGAGGCATCTGAAGTCTGGTAGTGGGCGGATAAGGGAAGTTGCACTTCACCCTCACACAGGAAGGAGGGAATCTGCTCTTCATTGAGTGCTATTATATACCAACCTCTGTCCTCCCCATCACAGATGAGGGGCAGAGCCCTATAAAATGCCCTGTGACTCTGTCCCAAGGCCTCACTGAATTTGGCCCAAATGAACATTCTCCCCTCAGAAACAAAGCTACCTGCTCCAACTTGGTATCTATGGTTCTCACTCTGAGTCCCCTAACTTACTTTTGTTTCTCTCCCCAGACCTTCAGAGAGGGCGGTAGGAAGAGATCCAGGCTCCCCAAGAGCTCCTTTGCTGCAAGCACATTCCTGTGTGCCTGGCCCAGATGTGAATGGCCAGTGCACACTGGCCCAGCACTCACCTCCCAGCTCACAGCAGCTTGTTCTCTCTATTTATCAAAATTTTATGCATCTTAATGCTCATCCTTTAAAAATAAAAAGTCCTGCAGACATAGCAATATGCCCTAGGCCTGTTTTATCTTTGACATCAGGAACAAAACAGAATAAAAAAGCACTGGGCAAACTTTCTTCACTTTTATTAGAATTTTCTTAACTTCTTCAGACTATGGAGCTGCAAAGGGCCTTGAGAATGTGAAGCCAATTCTTAGTTTTATAAATTAGGATTTGGAGCAAGGTTACCTCCCAAGATCTGCAGCTAGGACTGGAGTTGTAAATCACCTGAAAACTCCCTGCTCACACCCATCACACATCATTCCTGCTCGCAGGATGACAGTCTCCATCGCAGGGTGCACAACTGCAGTCTTCTCAGAAGGACTCTCCTTCAATGAGGATGTCAGCCTTCATTTGGGGAAGAGGGAGTTTGCAGAATGGACTCCGGGGCCTGGGCTGGATAAAGGTGATACCTGGAAGAGGGTCAGGAGGCAAAACAGAAGTCACAAACATACCAACTGGAATAGCTTCACAGATACTGGCAGAGAGGGGAACCCAGATTCCAGCCCTGGGGTGACTCCAGACTTAGCTTTGAGGTTGGGAGGGACTCGGAGATGGGACCCTCCACTCCCACAGGGCTGCAGTCATGACAATGGCTAAATGCCACTGTGTCTCTGGTTTCCCTGTTCTTATGAAATTGGATAGCTGTCCAAGTTCTCAACTCTACCAAGTTCAGAATCTGCTTTTTTTTTCCCCCTATTAATATGGAGTAGAAACTTATCATCTGGATCAAGATTAATTGTTTTAAAAATCAACATAAGCAGGTCTATTTTTGTATGTTTAATGATATGAATAAGAACTGTTCCTCCCAAGCCACCCAAGGTTCTTCCCACCAAAGAAGTTGTTTACTCATGCAGACAAACTTTGTTAAAATACACACACACACACACACACACACACACACACACATATGCTGGGCCAGTGTGCATATGTTTTGTTTTTTTTTTTCAACCTATCTGTGTTTTCCCCTTTCTGGTTTGGCCTGTGTAGGTAAAATAAGAAACTGAAAATTTAACTAATTTTGTAAATCCATCTAGCTCCATAATAAGCTACAAATCCTGCACTGGGAAGGGATAGGTTAGTCAATAGTCTTCATAGGTGGCCCTACTACTCTGGGCCTCAGTTTCTCCAATTATAAAAATTGATAGAAGATGGAGAGATTTATCTAATGAAGCTTGACGTTCAAGGGCCCCACTTTCACAAGAAATTTCAAGGCTTGTAAGTAGTATATTTATAATTTTTTTTAAAGAAGGCACCCAAATTGCATATGCCTAAGACTGTAAAACCTGATCCATCCCCAGATGGTATCATTAAGCTAATTCAGAGGCACTAAAGATTTACAACATTTTGAAGAAGAAAAAAACACTCCTTAAAAGACTGAAAACCATGCTTCCTTATCAGTTTTTGAAACTTTTTTTTTTAACCAATACTAAAGAGTTGGAGATGTTGGTAACAGCAGCAGCTAACACCAGATATTCATTAACATGATTCTATTGAAAAGCTACAGAGCTTTCAGTTACAATGGTGTCTATTATTAATGAAGAGATAAGGAGTTTCCACTGTGAAAAATAAAACTAAGCTCATACAAAATTCAATGTAGCTAATTTGAATTGAAAGTTGCAAAGCAGGAGGAAGCCAGGAAGGGTAGAGAAAAGAAGTAGGAAAGACTATGAAGCAGAGAAGTATTGGGAGACTGGTCTCTAGAGGGAAAAAAAAAATACCATCCCCTTATCTTGGGGCCTCTGCACACTATGAAGAAGACACTACCTGACCCCAGCTAATGTTCTATATAGCAACTGAGAACAAAATAGAGAACAGACCCCCTTCTTTGCTAAAAAATTACAATGATGTGGTATAAGAGGATTCAATCATTCATTGTTCATTCAACAAATATTTTCATTATTTGTAGCTTCATGCTGGGGACATAATGATGAGCAAAGTAGACATAGCCCCTGTGTCCAGTCTGGAGGGAATGCGGCCTTGCAGAGGCTAGTGCCATTTAGTGTGATATGTGTTTTAGCGATGGAGGCAGAGGATATTAGGGGAACACAAAGAGGGGCATCTAATCTACTCAGGATCCAGAAAATCATGTGAGACCTGCAAAATGAGTAGGCATCCACTAGAAAAAGGAATGAGACATGTGTTTTTGGCAGAACAGAAAGGGAAGCCGTGTTCTGAAGCACCATGGACTGTGTGTGTTGGTGTCGAGGGAGGAGGGTAGAGGAGGCATTATTTAAGCAGCTGCTAGGTCATATGGGTTTTGAAAGCCTTGGTTAAAAAGTATGGACTTCACCTCAAATGACAGGAGACTGACTATGATAATGCCCAGATGGTGTAGGGGACTTTCTGCAAGATTGGGAATAAGGAGAGCCAGCTAGGGAGCCACAGCAATTGAGGCAAAAGATGATCATAATCCAAACAGAAAACACAACCACGTATGAAGGGATGGACATGTATTCAAAAATTATTTAAGAGGCACAATAGACATGCTTTGATAGTTGGTTAGAAATGAGGTGTGAGGTGCCCAAGGAATCTAGGATGACCTCAGATACATCTGACTTGAACAGTTGGGCGGCCAGATGGTAGGACCATTTGTGACTCCAGGAGGAGCCTGTTCAGTGCTTGCGAACTGAATCGCCATTAGGCTAAAAGGAGGCTTCAGATTCCACAGCAGAAGGTCAAGTTGAAATGCCCAAGAAAGATGGACTTACTACAATATTGAGGTCAGGAGAGAGGAAGAAAAAGCAAGAGGTTGAGGAGTTCAGCTGAAGAGATGTTCAGATGAGAAAAGCAGGCTACAAAACCATATGTACACTAAGATACACACATACGCACAGAATGTGGACAAGGAAGAGATGGAGATGTCTCCATCAATGTTGTAGTTAATTTCTTAGATCACTGGTGACTTGCTGTTTTTTTGTTTGTTTGTTTTGTTTTGTTTTGTGCTTGACTGTATTTGAGAAATTAAAGATTACACAATAAGTGTGAGGTATTTTGTAATAAAAAATTATTTTTTGAAAAGTGGTTATGTAAGTGAGTGAGACATTATGAAAGGCTAAAGGCAATCATAGCCAGGTGGGCATAGTGGTGCACATTTAAAATCCCAGCTACTGGGAAGGTGGAGGCAGGACAATCACAAATTCATAATTTAACTTAAAGAACTTAACTGAAAAGGGACTAAAAGAGGTAAGATGATTTGCTGCCTCACAAACTTGGTTGGAATCATTTGCAATGTTTAAAATATACTGGGCCTAAATCCCATCTCCAGAGATTCTGATTCAATTGGCAAAAGGTGTTGTCTGAGCCCCGGAGATATTTTTTTTGAATGTTCCCCAGGTGATTTTAATGGCAGCAAAGATGGAAAACCACTTAAGTAATTATGAGAAGTAAGAAGGATAACGTTTTAGACTGGCAGCCTGAGTTAATGAAAAATAAGCAAGAATCTTAAGAAGGTTCTCGTGGTCAGGCCCTGAAGCACAGTCTAAGATTATTCATGAGACAGCATCCCAAGGCTGGGCCTGGGGTTCATCACACAGCATGCTCTCAAATGACCGGTAAAGTGAGCTGAACTCAAACTAACATAAATAAATAAATAATAAAGGAGCTCCAAGAAACTCTGCAAAAAAAAAAAAAAAAAAAAAATTGGACATTTTACAGGGAAAGAAAATCTGAGATCCTGGAAGGTTCTCCGTAGTTCAGAACAGGTGGGAAATGTTAACGTATTCAAGGCAAGCAGCTTCCACATCCCTAGGTGTTAACTCAGCAAAGGGCAGCAACTCAGCTGAACACCTTCAATGCATGAAAGACAGCACATGGATTATTCACTAACATGAAGAAATGATTTTCAAACAATCTGTCACCAGAGTGTTAGCAGTGGTTGTCCATGCCAAACTGCAGTTTTCCTGGCAGGATCACCCTTCCAGGGACACTGGAGATGATGCTACCTTTGAATTCAGTTTCCTCCACAGTCTAGCCTTGATTTCTCAGGTAAGGTATCTCATTGTCCTGACCTCACACTCTGCATCTGTGAAAGAATACTGCTACTTTTTTTCGTAGGTTTCCCAGATTTAAATACTCAATAATTTGTGAAACCAGATAATTAGGCTTTTCAACATTTCCTGATTGCTAGAGTTTGAAATAGGAAGAGAGACTACAGAGCTGTTAAAGTCAGCTTGGGTGTGGGTGGTGGCTCAGTGGGAGAGCTTTTGTTTCGTGGGGTTGAGGCCCTGTGCTCCATCTCCAGCACTGCAAAAGAAAACATCTGTACGGGTCTTCTTGTCTCTTTCTTTTCGCCTGTCATCTTCTTTTAATCTCAAAGGAAGGTGGCTATAGAGTAGAATACTTCTTAGTAAATTAATGGCATAGAGTAGGTGGGCCTTTGAAAAACATAAAAATTTAAGAAGCAGAATCAATGAGCTCAAAATTTTATGTAAAATATCTTGATGTTAATAATCTGCAGAATGTTGACAATAGTTATTAAAATGGAAACTCTACAGAAAGACTAATGGCAATCATAGCCAGGTGGGCATAATGGTGCACACTTAAAATCCCAGCTACTGGGAAGGTGGAGGCAGGACAATCACAAATTCCAGGATAACCTGAGATATTTAGCAAGACCCTGTCTCAAAATAAAAAGGGCTGCGGATGTAGCTCGGTGGTAGAACTCTTGCCTAGCACAAAGGTAGGCCCTAGGTTTGATCCCCAGTGTGAAAAGAAAAGAAAAAATAATTGTAGTGATATGGAGAGAGGGGTTGCTTATATTTCATTAAACCTGAAGTGCCTTTATTATAAGGTACACCATTTTATACATGATTAAGGGAAAGAGACATTCCTAAACTATGACACGATGCTTTCTTTACTCATATATTTTTTCCTTATTGAGAGAACTTTTAGATTTATTTAAACATCTGTTGTTACATGTACCACTCTTGTATGTATCTAAAAAAGGAAACAAGCAAAATGAATTGGTTAAGGTGTTTCTCAAAACTTTGTCATTCCCGTTTTTCTGAATCACTTTTTTGTCATCGATACCCACATTCTTTACACAGTGATGTCTCTAGGCTTTCGGATGAATTGATGACATGCTCTCATTTTCTCCTGTATTTTCTTATGAGCCTTTGACATTTCTCTTTGCACCCTTTTTTTTGCCTAGTGTGTGATAGACAATGTCTTCACTATATCTTGATAACAAAACATAAATCAGCTTTACCTACTTGTGGCCGTCTTCCCTTCTTAAGTCCTGTAAAGCCTTGCTTCTCAAACTTCTGTGTTCATACAAATCACTTGGGAATCTCGTTACAGCAACTATAAGTCTGGGCTAGAGTTGCAATTCTGCCTTTCTCACAAGCTCCCAGATGAGGCCAATAGTGCTGGTCCCAGACCGACTTTAGGTAGCAAAGCTATAAAGCAATTGATCCAAGTGGTTGCTTTTTTTTGCAAAGAAATATGGGAGTGTGATTATTCCTCCAACAAATGTTTGTTTTGCTAATATCAAATTTATGCCCTGTTCCTCTGTTTCCAGTACTCTTCTGTGTGTGCAATAATTTTTCATTTCAATGCCAAATTGTAGTATAATCTTTTTGAAATCGCTTAAATAGCAATGAACTCAAGATGCATAGCATTAGGAATGCACATAATTCATTGAAGTGATGGCAGAGTGCAGAGTTAGGGCCAAGTTAAGGCTGCACAGTCAACGATGCACCCCAAGGCCAACTGTAATGCACAACCGACTACAAGCTGCACCCCAATGTCAGATGCTAAAAAAACAGAAAATATATGGCTTCAGATCAAGGCAATACGGAGAAGCTGTTGCAAATCTCTGTACTATTTTAGCTTCTGCTCTTTGCAGTTTTTTTTTCTTTTTCTATTTAAGAAAGTGCTGAAATCAGCATTAGGAAGTATGAGTGAAAGCAACAATAACTCTAGCGTGCTTCTCACTCTCTTTACTTTTAACCTTTCGGCTTCACCTTTGTGAGTACAACACACAGGATGAAGCCTCTCAGGGTGAGCACCAGGGATTGTGTTTACAGATGACTTCCCAGCAGGCAGAGACACCTGAGCACTTCTTGCAAATTCCTAGCTCTGACCCAGCTGACTGAAGCAGCATCTCTGGGCCCCATCCAGGAAACCCTTCAAGTCCCCCAGGAGAGGCTGAGGCCACTCAAGATTGAGATCCACTGGTTTAGGGTCTTTGGACCTTCCAACAGGATTTAATTCCCTTGTCTTTCATTAGAAGGCACTTACCATGTAGCCAACACTGCCAGGTGTTATGGGGTCCCAGCAGCACTCCTCCCCACCTAACGGAGCTTACACTCCAAATAGGATAAAAGAAAGAGAACACTATGGGCACTCAGAAGGGGGGAGGAAGAGGGTTATTTTCAGTAGATATGATTTAAAATGGTTTTTGGAAGAAGGTGGGAAATGTGCACAGACTGGGAGTGAGAAAATGTGCTTCAGGCAGGTGGCAGAGCATAAGCAAGGGCCAGGAGGTCAGCATGAAGGAGTCCTGTGCCACGGACAGTAGGCCAGGTGTTCTAAAGAGATAGTTCAGGTAATAGAATCAGAAAATAGATGCTTAGAAAGTTAACTGAGAGTAAAGTGATGCCCCAGGAGAATTTGCCATTTTGTATCAATCCTTCCATCATTTGATTGGAGCTAATTTGTTGTTTTACTTACTTCGCTGCTTCTTTTTCTTCCCTCTTCAAGTTCAGAGAGAAGAGACCCAGAGCCTGTGGTTTTTCATCAGGGCCTCAGGACACATCCCAATCTTTTCCTTGGTGCAGGCTTTCCTAAATGTACTTCTAAACGGCCTCCTCTGTCCAACTCCCCTGCCGTCAGCTGGTGCACAAGGAGAAATGCAAGCTCGTTGCAATAGTAATCTGAGCGAAACACAACTAGAGAGGAAATTTTGCTGCTCTGTTGCAAATAGCATATGGTACATCCCAAAAGCCAAAAGAAATGATTTTTTAATCATCTGCTGTTCAGGATTATCCACGCTCCCTTTCCTTAGCGTGGATAATTGAAGGTTGGCTGTATTTGGATTTCAAAGTACTTTGGACTTTATTGAAAACCAAGGTGCCCAGTTGGCTCCCTGCCCCCAGTGGGTATCCATGCCTGTAATTAAATTGATCTGCAAAGGGAGGGCAAGGAGGTGCCTCTGACGTGAGTAGTTACCAGAGAAAGTCAATTGACATGTTTGTGTGTTGCACATGTGTCCCACATGTGGGAACAAAATGATAGCAACTGCTTTCCTTCAGGAGAAGCTCCTTGTGCTGTGGCCCTATAGTGCTCTTCTCTCTGGATATTTCAGATCTGCCCTCCAAACAAGGCTGCACACCTTTTAGAGTAAGACCTTACTATGGCTCCCGTGGGTCTCACAGTGATGCAAGCAGAGACATTAGAGGGGATTTGTTTTTTAGTTGGGCAAAAATTAGCCAACACATGTGCACACACATTCTGGGCGCTGAAATTTTAAGTGAAGGGAACCAATGAATTTAGCATAGTTAGAAAAAAACATTTTTTTCCCATGCAGGTGTGTGCAATTTGTGTATGAGAAGAAAAGTGGGCAGCCTCTTCAAGGATCCGTGGGCTCAGGAGCAGAAAGTGTGTTATTTCAAACAGAGCTCTCCCTAGATTCAGGGGACAGATGAGGTAAAAAGAAAAGGCATGAGGCAGCCCTTCACCTGGATGTGTTTTCCATCTAGGCAAGAAGGAAGAACATTTTTAAAATAAAAACATAGGGGTCTGGGGTTGTGGCTCAACGGGAAGGTGCCGCAGTCTGGCTGGGCACAAATCGCGAGCCACTGAAGCAGGAACAAACTTTATTTCTGAACTCCACCAGCACACTCCACACACGCTCCCTGGGAACTCTCTCCAATGCCACGCAGCTCCTCCAGGAACCACCAACCAGAAATCCCTCCTCCGGCACTTCCCCAACCAATGCGAACTCTTCAGGAATCCCCTGGAGAGCTCAACTGGAACTCAATGGGAACTCCAAGAGAACTCAAAAGTCATCATTTTAATAGCTTGCTGGCGTCACCTCTCAACCACTACTTCTGAGCAAAAATGCCATGCGTCATCCCGACTTGGCTGTGGCCCTCAACCGGAAGGCGCTTGCCTAGCATATGGGAGATGATGGGTTTGATCCTCAGCACCACATAAAAATAAATAAATAAATGAAATAAAGGTATTGTGTCCAACTACAACTAAAAAAATTAAAAAATAAAATAAAAATAAAAACTTAGGAACACACACAAAGCAAGCAGTTGAGGATGTTCTCTGCAGCTGCAGGGGCTCCTTATGGATTGGAGGGTGGAGATATTGGGAGTGGGTGAGGGGCCAGGTTGTCACTGGTTGGGCTGCTGGCTAAGCAAACTTGGGGCCCATGGAATCAAAGCATAGATATGTCAGAGCAGGACTGGAACCCTGTTCTGGCTGGCCAGCTCAGGAGATGCATCAACTAAAGCGTCTTGGGCACTGTCAATGACTTACCTGCACCGTATTCCTCCCAATTGCCAGTGGCCATAGACAGTGTTATTCTGCCCCACAGAGCCAAACTCAGTCCCCTGTTGAAAAGCAGAAGCTGGATGTGAGCATCATGTTTGGCCCCACTTTTTCTTTGCTGCGGACAGGACACACACACACCCCTTATCACTATCCCCCAAATCAAGCCTTAGCAGCCTCTCCCCACCATGCCCCCACCATGCTCCCCACCATCAGCATCCTGCTGCAGCCACACCCACATCTGGTTTGCCATCTGGCCCCAGCTGGCCTAGGAGAAAGGGCCAGAATCCAGGAAGGCACAGCACATGTGCTGTGGCCAGGCCTGCCTCTCGCTCTCGCTTTTCCAGCTCCTCAACCCACTTTCCTGCCGCACCCCTGAGATACTGCTCCACTTACCTTTATCATGTCACATGCTCCCATCAAGATTCCCTGCACTTTCCTGGAGCTTATTACTGAATATTTATGCCTCTCCACTGTCCCTTGGCACCACACAAACACTGAGAGACGGCAACCCTGCACAGCCAGCTGGCTCGCCACTGAAATGAGAATGAGCGTCTGGGCAGGAAGGATAGCCATCCAAGGCGTCATTTTGTGCCCTCCTTGGAGAGGACAGCCCTGCCATTTTCATGATTAAACCCACTAACCCCTCCCACCAGCCTCTGCGACAGCTTCTCCTGACAATAGTGGTTACTGATTAAAGAGAAGCTGGGTTATTTTTCTTAGAAGATAATTAAAACCAAACACACAGAGATAGAGAGTTCTGTCCACTGCAGTGTTCTTGATGGGAATTACAGATTGCTCAACCCATCTTTGTTGTGACACCAGGCATCCCTGTTCACCTAGGAGATGGTCCAGGGATATGTGCTAAGTCCAAGCAAGTGCGCATGTCATAGAGGTGCAGCCACTATGGTCTTGCCCTTCACTGAGCATATGTATTGAGTCCCCTGGAGCATCAGGCACTGTGCGGGTCCCTGAGTGCAGAAGCAATATGTTCCCAGGCTCCCTCTGCACAGGGACCCGGCCAGTATGCATGGAGTGGCTGAAGGAAGGATTCAGGAAGTCCCCTCTCAGGCTGCTATATGATGGTTGGTTCTGCTCCAGACAAGGAGCCATCCATCAGCCTCCAAGGCACTCACTGTCCCTCTGGTTTGGGAACGGTGAACTGTCTGTTGGCAGTTTTCCCACAGGAATAGCAAATCTGTGCTTCAAATAAAGGTTCCTCTTAAAATAATAATAATAATAATAATAATAATAATAATAATAATAATAATAATAATAATAAGGCACTACCCTGGTGTATGAAAAACATATGAAAAATGTGTGCCTGACTAGTGAGTGCACCCTGGATGGCTCAAGGATTTCTGCATGGAAGGATGTGGAGGCAGCGACTTGATCAGAAATATTCTGGCCAGGTCTCTGCTCATTGAGCACACTGGTTATTTGGGAGATGCCGTTGGAAGCTTGGAGGTTAGACTCTCTCCCATTGCTTCCAGCAGTCTTTGGCAGCATCCCAAATTGAGCGTTTGTTTTGTGAACAAAGACAGCACAAGAAATCAGAGGAACCACTTTCTGGTTTTGACTCTAATCAGCTGGGGGACTTTGCACCATTCCAGAATTCTTCTAAGCCTCAGGATTCTCATCTGTAAAGAAGTTGGGATTGGGCCACATCATCTGTAGGCCTTTGGGAAGCAAAATAAATTGGAGATACAGTCCCTAAACCAGAAAAAGCTAATGATGGTGAACATATAGCACCAAAAGGAAAAATTGTACCTAACTGTAAATGGTGGAAGTAATGGAAAGTTCTTGCATTTTGTCCACAGGCATCTATCACCACTACTTCTGGCAACAGCCCCAACACATTGCTTAAGCATTGTCTAATTAATCCTCACATAACACCAAAGTAGCTCTGCTTCCATGTTTCCCAGATGACTGCATAAGGGAAAAAAATTGAGTGACTTAGCCAAAGTGATAGTCCTTAAGGGTCATATGAAAACTAAACTTAAGGTGATCTGATCCCAATGCTGCCTTCAGTATTCTACCCCCAGGGCCCCCAGAGGCTTTTCTCTGGGGAAGGCAGCAGCCTGGCTGACTTGATAGAGCCTGGGTTAGGGATGGTTAGCCTGAAGGCAGAGCGACCTGTCATTTGCGCTCTTTCTATTTATACAGGACTTTTTCTTCAAAGTACTCCACCTGTTTCTGCAAAATTACTATTACAAACCTTTACCAGGCAAGTCAAGAAGAGACAAGACGCACAATGACAACAGATGTTCTCCAGCCTGAGGAACTGACGAGCGTCCTGCTTCATCAATTGATGGGGCTGTCAGGGCCTAGGATTCACAGTGCGGGCCTCTGTGATTTTTCTGCAAGAAGTCATGTGGTGCCTCACAGATGTTTAATTCTTACTGTCCATTGGCCACAGCAACAGGGTACAAGGTGATGAAGCTCGTTATGTTGTAAAGAGTGGCGAACATCTTGCCCTGGTCCCTTGGGCTCCTCTCCTGTGAGATCCACTGAGGAAGGCTTTTCTGAGCTGCATTCAGTCTCAGTTGCCTCCTCAACCCTGCCCCAAGGTGGGGCTTCATTTCTCTGAGCTGGGCTCACACAGACCTAAGTCCACCTCCTGGGCCTGAGGTCTTTCTGGAAGCCAGCTGCTGACTGTCCAGGATTTTGTTCTCAGGAATGAGCCATGTGTTCTCACTAGGCTAAGGCTTCCAAACGGCATCCAGCGGGTTAGTGGTAGAGGATGCAGGGAAAGACCCAGGGATGCCTTGGCTCCCCTGCAAGCCCTCGGCTCTTAGTGAGGGGTGATGCTCCATTCATCCATGGTGGCATGCTCAATAGCCCACCAGGAACCCTTTCTAGGCCTGGGTTGATGTCTTCCGCACCTCCCTGTCAGGCCATGGGGTTGCTATCTCACACCGGCCTACTCTGCACTCCTCCACCTGGACATGCAAAAATCCTTTGGATGGCCCTGCAGAATGGAACTTGGGAAACTACTCAGCGTGGAGTCTGAACTTAGCTACAAAAGATGAAATGACAGTATTCATCTGGTACAAGTATTGACTACCTTAAGCTGTTCTCAGACAAATAGTGTCTGGACATGCCAGATTTTGTCTAGCTTTTGGCAGCACCCCTTAGGCTTGTACTAAATGACCATCTGGCTCCTGACCTCTCAGGATCAGAATTCCCATAACTCCTTGGTCTTCAAGGAGGGAGGCGCATCAGAACCAGGGAGTCCTGTGGGACAGGACCACACCCCAAAGTCTTTAATTAAAGGAAGGTTCTGCAGAATCAAGCATCTCAGGTTATCTCAGTTAACAACAAAGACAGTTTCACTCCACTGCAGACTGTCGGCTAGGAGTTCTCAGCTGAACATCAGTGGACAACATATACTGCACAGCCAAAAGCAGCAAGAGACCAATGCTTCTCCCTGTTGTCTCCATTTTCTCCTTCACTGAGATGGAGAATCCCCTCATCATCTCTCTCTAGGATGGTCAAGTTCTCACCACCTGAGAACAAAGCAGCCACTGGCATCTATAGGTGCCATTCATGGCCAGGTGACCACAGTGTTTGGCCAGTCTGCAGTGATGCCCAGCACACCCCCACTTCTGTGTTTGGCTCTGTGACAGCCATACTTCAGTAGCAGCTACCACCCTGAACCAGAAGGACTCTATGCTATTGAACAGGGACCCCTCTCAGATCCAGTGAGATCAGGGTCAGGGTGGATATCTTTGGGAACAGCCTGGCTCTTGCAGGAAGAAAGTCATGCATCTATTCTCCCTTGGACTAATTAGCTCAAAGAAAGCAATGATAATCTTGCTATACAATGTTGTTTGAGGTACCAGATATGAGTGCCATAATCAATATCTGACACTTTTTAAGCACTATTCTGAACATACTTGGCTATTAACGAATTAATCCCATTACAACTTTTTCAGGTAGATACTAAAATTATGACCACTTTACAATTAATTGAGGCACAGAATTTGTATGTAATTTGTCTGTGATTACATGTCAAGGAAGTAGAAGAGCAGAAAAGTAAGCCCTATTGTGGCCTGCTTCCAGAGGTCTCTGTAGCTTGGACATGAGAACAGGGTACCAGATGGAACTGAAGTTCTGACAGACAAGTCAGTGCTCAGGGATCTGTCCAGTTGGACAGCAGTGGTGACAAGGGCACCAGCTGCCTAATAGGATGGCTAGGGTAGTCAGGACCTCTGGGGTCAAGGTTTTCCTAACTGAGGTCATAGATATGTGATTGGGTGACATAAAAGTACCACCAGAGTGTTCTAAACAGGTGAACCTGGTAAAGCAGAGAGAAAACCCACCAGCCATGGATACCTGAAGTGTTGGGGTAACTTTAACTTCTGCTTCCCATCTTCTCTCTTCACATACACACAACAAAAACACACCTGCAAACACAAGCACACCACAAACACCACACAAACACACCTGCAAATAAGACAGCAGGAGAGAGGGATCAGAATCCAGCTCCAAGGAGCATTCCTGTCAGCCATCTCCTGCTCCAGGGCTGCTGGATTGGTCTTAGGGGATCCCTGGTGCCTCTCACCTCTCCTTCAGCCAGGGATCTGGACACCTGGAGAGCAGGCATTGAAAGCATAGAGGAGAACCAAACAAAACCTGCCTGATATGACTGAAGTTGGCATTGTCTGTGTGTAATTCATAAGTGTGCTCTCACTGTAAGGCAAAAGCCACCCACCTTCTCTAACTGTGTGCATCTATTGGTGACAGCCCAACCTTGCTGAGACCTTCTGTAAGGGAATGAACTGGGTGCATTTTTAGGAGTCACTGCTCCTGCTGTAACAAGTGGGGACTGGGAGACATTGAATGGTTCTGCTCAAGCAGAAGAGCAGAGGGTAAGGGCAGAGGGCAGCTAAGGGAGGACAGAGGGAGGCAGGGTTTAAAGGAGGTTCAGAATAGGGAAGAGGTCAATGCTTCCCAGGAGGCTGAAAAGGTGGAGGCATAGCTACTCCTTTGGGTGGCCAGGGAGCAGTGGTAAAAAGGCAGCCTGACCCTTGGATGATGATGAGTAAAGCAGAGAACAGGAACTTCTCTAGGAACCAGGCCATGCAGGGCCTGAGATGGAAGTAGGTAGACTCAGCTGACCGAGCAAGGAATCAGAAACTGGGGAAAGAACTCTGAGGAAGAGCAGTGTCCTGGGCTGGACAAACACATCTGAGTCAGCACTTACTGAGAAGGAGATGAGAAGAAAAATGGAAGACAGTATTTCTGAGTCTCCACCCCAGAAGGGGGCTGTTAAGGGAGGCTCCAGTCTCAATACGACATGCAAATACCCCTTCCACAAACATACAGCATGCGCACACACGCGCGCACGCGCACACACACACACACAACACACAACACACACCCCTCCTGCAAAGAAGCAACATATATGTATGCAAACAGATGGTCACACACATGCACAAACACCATATCTGACTATGACCACATTCTTGAGGCCTGATTCTGGAACTGTGCCACCATCTTACAAGGAATTTTAAAATTGCAGTGGCTATGTTCTGTTGAATCAAGTCCAATAAGGCTTCCTTGTTCTATTCTCCATTGAATGCTGGTGTAGTGAGGTTTTAGCTATTAGAATCACAAGCCATCTCAAATGATCATCTAGTACCTAAGGGAACAGGCCAGATCCCACCCAAGTCTTCCTCAGTGACTTGGTCACCTCATGAAAATTCTCTCCCTCAAAATCTCAGGAGAGTTGATGAGGTCTTCTTAGTGGGGGAAATGGTGCCAGCTACAGAGATTTATAACCAGACTTGTAATCTTCCACTATTTGT